GCCCCAAACCTACTTGGGCCCCACCCTGTAGAGGGGAAAAATCACGAGTCATGGTGACTAAAGGCCTTTGGGTCCTGGTCCCCAGTGGCTGGTGAGTGCGAGGGTAGGGGCAGTTGATCATCGCACCGGTCCTGATGTCAGCCGTGGGGGTGCTCTGTCCAGCCTCGCGGGGGTTGTTCTGCGCGTCGGTTCTGCTTTCCTGGGTTCGGACCTAAACCCCAATGAGGCCGAGATAGGAAGTTTAATCCTGTCTCCGTAGTTTGATCCTGACATTACTGGTGAGGGTATTTTGAGTCGAAGGAAAAATAAATAAATAAAAGGCCAGGTTAAAGAAAATAAGGTTTCTGCGCTGCACCCCTTGAAGACTCTCAGGCTCCCCGCCTCACGCTGCTCTGCGTCCTCAGGAACCATGCTAGCTGTACACTTTGACCAGCCAGGAGGGCCAGAAAACCTCTACCTGAAGGAAGTGGCCAAGCCAAGCCCGGGAGAGGGAGAAGTCCTCCTGAAGGTGGCAGCCAGCGCCCTGAACCGGGCGGACATACTCCAGGTACTCGGGGAGCCGGGCGGGACTCCAAGCCTTCGGTAAGCATTCGGGCAGATAAGGAATGACCTTCAGCACTGCCAGTAGTGCTCCTGTGAGGTGTGTGCTGAGTGCATGCTGGGGGTTCTGAGCCCCGGAACCATTTAATCTCCTACGCTTACACAAAATACAGGGATACAGTATTTGCAAAGCAGCATTCACCCTGAGTCAGTCCACAGTCTGCTCAGGCTCCCAGATAAGGAAAGGGGTGACATTTGTTGGGGGGGGGGTGTATGTTAGGCCATGCTCTGTCTCGCTGGCTCTTCAGGCGGCCCTGTTCACCATGTGTATTCTACAGGTAAGGAAACTGAGTCCCAGAGGTTAGGCAATACGCCCAAGACCACAACACTAATAGCCCTGGGGGGCTATGATTCAAACCGAGGTCTTTGTACCCTCAAAGTCTGCACCCTTTCCACTCTAAGGGTCCCAGAGCAGGCAGGGAGCAGCACTCAGAATTTTCTCCTATCTGCTATTTGAAGAGCTAAACTGGACCCACTGCCCTGGGTGGGGTGACTGAGAAATGCACGGCAGGGTCGCCTGGGGCATTCTCTCAAAATCAGCATAACTGGCACCCAAGCTTGTATGTGTGTTTTGAAAAAGCTCCTCAGAGGTTCTGATGCATCTCCTGGTCCAGTCCTCTGGTCCATAGCCCTGGCCAGAGGCTTCCGAGGATCCCAGTGAGTAAGAGCCTGGCACTTGATATGCAGTAACTATCACTTAGGAGTCCGTATTTTTGTTCCTACTCCTGCTCCCAATTTACTTTGCAACCTTGGACCAGGCATTTCCCTGCCTAGGCCTCAGTTTCTCCATTTGTAAAACAGGGGGTTTAGATGAGGGGAAAAGCAAAAGACCTTACTAGGTGTGGCATCCACTGATTATGTGACCTACTGTCTCCTATTTGCATGGAACAAATGACCTCTTCTCTCTTTTCCTGCTTTAAAAAAAACCCTGACTTCATCCTGAATTTTCTGTAGCAGAGAATGGCGGGGAGGGGGGGGGGCGGGACATGGGAAGAGGCCGCGGATGGTGGTACCCAGATTTCCGGTTGTGCTCACCACTTAATCCACCCCTCTCTCTGCAGAGACAGGGCCAGTATGCCCCACCCCCAGGAGCCAGCACCATTCTGGGCGTCGAGGCATCTGGACACGTGGCAGAGCTGGGGCCTGGCTGCCAGGGACACTGGAAGATCGGGGACCCAGCCATGGCCCTGCTGCCTGGCGGGGGTCAGGCTCAATATGTCACTGTCCCTGAAGGGTTCCTCATGCCCATCCCAGCAGGACTGACCCTGCCCCAGGCTGCAGCCATCCCAGAGGCCTGGCTCACCGCCTTCCAGCTGCTACATCTTGTGGGTGAGGAGCCCCCCGTACCCGCACCCGCACCCCAACGCCTACTCCATTCAACATGGCTCAATTCCCTCCTGACTTAGCCACCTCAAAACCCAGTAGTCCTGCAGGGCAGCTTTGTCCTGACCCCTGAGCCGTCCCTAAACCCAGCACCTTGCCCTGCTGTGCCACCAGCTGTGTCATGTCCTCCTACCATGTTAGCAATGGCGTGAGAGTTGAGGCTCAAAGTGCTGGTGAGCAGATAGAAAGCAAGCCAGGAAAGCACGGGACAGACGGCCTGTGCACGCGTCCCCGCGCTGGCCCGCCAGTCATCCCCACTTCTCAAAGTCACACCGAGCTTCTCTCAGGGAGCCTAGTGCAGCAGAGGGGCCACTCAGTCAGCCTTATCCCTCCCCAGCCCCGCTGAGGCTAGCCACGGGGTCAGGCAAGGGGGGTCCGGGAAGACTCCTCGGGGAGCTCAGAGTGACGGGGAGGACACCGTGTTCACAACAATTAGACAACCGTGGAGTTCAGAAGGGTGTGGGCAAAGGTGGTCAGAGAAGGCTTTCTGGAAGAGAAGGACTTGAAGTGGGAGGTAGAGTTGTCATGGACGGAAGGCAGCCATGGTCTAAGTGTCTTTTTCTTTCTTTGTGAGAGAGAAAGGTGAGTTTGGCTGCTCCACTCAGAAGTGAAGGATGCCAATTATCACTTGAGAAAAATGAGGCTGGGACTAGATTGTGGTGGCCTTGAATTGCAGGCTGTTTGAACTTGATACAAAAGCCCATCGAGAGCCACATTACCTTTTGAGGAGAAAGCGACATAATGAAAACTCCACTTTAGAAGGAGGAGCCTGGCGGCTGGTGTGTGGTGCCTGGACCAGTGAGATCAGCAGGAGGCCAGCGTCAGACTGAAGAGGGACTGGCTTCTGGCGGCGACAGTGGGAATGGTGGTTATTCTTCCTTAGCAGGGACAGATCAGAGATGTGCATTTTGCTAGTATTTCATAGGTAAAACAGGAAATTACGGATGTGGCTGCTAATAACTCAAAAGGTTGTTTCCCACTTTGACCAGAGGTGATAAGACAAAAAAAGAACTATCACTATGTTCTCTAAAGTGAGCAAGCAATTCAGCATTTGTTGGTCCCAGAGCCTGGTGATCATGATAGAATATGCCTATGTGGACACTGTGTAGCAGTTGCAAAGTAAAGAGAATGGTTCCTATACTTTGTGTCACAGGAAATGTTCAGGCCGGAGACTCTGTGCTAATCCACGCAGGATTAAGTGGGGTGGGCACAGCTGCCATCCAGCTCACCCGGTTAGCTGGAGCTGTTCCCCTGGTCACAGCTGGCTCCCTGGACAAGATTCAAATGGCAGAAAAACTTGGAGCAGCTGCTGGATTTAATTATAAGGAAGAGGACTTTTCTGAAGCAGCAATGAAATTCACCAAAGGTAAACCACAGTTTCTGCAGCTCAGCAGAAATTTCAGAGGTGATTAAATAAAACCCTTACCCGCCTGAAGGTAGCCAGAGCCTAGATCTGTCTTGCCTCGGCTAAATGTGCAACGGATGCCCTGGTCAAGTTCTAGTTCTCTGGTGTTTGACCTCTGGAGACAGGCACGCAGTATTTGGGATGAAGACAGTCCTTGTGATATGATTCATACACGTTTTAGAAACTGGTTATCCATACCGAATTGGCCTGGAATTATCCATGACCTCTTATTCCCAGCCAGCCAGCACACAGTGAGTTAAAAGGAGACATGGGACAGAGACCAGTTTGGAGGTGGTTGTAGTAGGGCTGGGTGGTGGCTTCTTAACTGGATGAGCCTCTGTATTCCAAAGGCAAGTTTGAATATTTTTGGAACATCCCTTTCCATTTCTCCACGAGTCAAAAAGGAGAGATGACACCAAAGCTAGCAAAACGACAAGTCACACAATCCAGTGCAGACACTTCATAACTTAGCTCTGAACTACTGGCCTGGGGTGGACCTCCCCTGTCGCATGGGGTGGAGTTCCCATCCTGTTCTCACTCATGCCTAGGTGCCAGTGGGTTCTCTAGTTACGTGGGGATTGGCATGAGGTACCAGGTCATGGTGTTGCCACATTTCCCACTTGCTGTGGTTAGAGATCATAAAAGATGAACTATTTCCTGTATGTATGATAGGGTTCAGCTACCTAAACTACATTTACAGTGTTTCTATATGCAGTGTTTCTAGTTCCAATCTACAGATATACCATTTGTGCCTGTATTTACTTATACCTATATATCCACAAATATACCATGGAATCTTATTTTGCACCAAGCTTCGTGTGTCTGACTAGCATCACAAATTATGTTTCATGTGGAAGGTGCTGGAATCAACCTCATTCTAGACTGCATAGGAGGATCCTACTGGGAGAAAAATGTCAACTGCCTGGCTGTTGATGGTCGCTGGGTTCTCTATGGTCTGATGGGAGGAAATGAAGTCAATGGGCCTCTACTTTCAAAACTACTTTTTAAACGAGGAAGTCTGATCAGCAGTCTGCTGAGATCTAGAGACAAAAAGGTGAGTGATGAGCGAGAAAAAAAACCCCCCAAAAAAACTGTTACCCAGAGAAGTGTGGTTCATTTCCATGACCCCAAAGAATGAAAGATATGCCACATCTTAAGTTAGGAAGCCTAAGTAGAAACCTGCCTCTCTATGGATAAACAGTTAACCTAGTTCCATGGAACTAATTTCAATTGGTCAATAGAAGCCTCAACACCTTGGAAAGCGGGTAGCTAACACTGCATATATGAGGCCAGGGGAGTCTTTCTAACAGAATGAACAAAGCATTGACCATATTAGGAAGTACTTCTAATAGTTTCAAGACTCTATTTTGAAAGGCACAACTCTTTTCAGTAGGCTAAGAAAGCCTCTTAGGTAAGTAAGCCTCTACCTTCAGACTGAAATATTCTCTATGTGTCAGCTTTGGGAACTTTTTCCAACATAAGGTTTCACACCAACTGGGGGATAGCAGAGCTTAAACATCCCTTTTGAACCAAGCCTATCTAAGACTTGTCTGTGGCTGCCTCCTGCTTGAAACCTTTACTTAACAAAAAAACACTCCTTAGGCTGTCGGTGGCACTAATATTTTACTCCAGACTTCAGCCTTTATCTGGTACAGAACAGAGGTTACACATTGGGGGGCATACACATACAAGCTGCCAATGAAGGGGTTAGGTACCCCTGTGTGCTTTTTCAGATGGGTACGCATTTCACAGAGAGCACGAAGGCTAAGCAGGATGGGAAGTAGCAAGGTAAGGCCTCTGTCCAGGCTGATGGTCTCCTTTTCTTTATCTCAGTACAAGCAAACGCTGGTGAAGGCTTTTACAGAACAAGTTGTGCCCCACTTCTCCACGGAGAGCCCCCATCGTCTACGGCCGGTTGTGGACCGAGTCTACCCCGTGGCTGAAATCCAAGAGGCCCATAAGTACATGGAGAGTAATCAGCACGTGGGCAAAATCGTCCTGGAGCTGCCCCAGTGAAGGAGTACAATACAGGGAACGGGTACCTCAGGCCTCCCCAGAGCAAGCTTGTTGAAAATTCATTGTATGTAGGCAAGAGACCGACTGCTACCCCACGCTCCTGCAACCCACTGGCCTCCCCGGGCCTCATCAGTCGATCCGTGTAAAGCTGTTCTAAGGAAATAAACAGAGTGTACTTAAAGGGCAACCGGCTCACGATGGGCGGTCCCAGCGCGCGGACTGAGGTCACCTGGGCGGGGATGAGGTGGGAGACGGGACGGGATGGGCATTGCGGCGGGGGTTCCAGGAAAGGCCAGACACAGCGCACCGTCCGAGGACCGGCCCCACCCACCCGTTCTCCACACCCACCGCGCGTTCCCAGCGATCCAGGGATTAACACCAAGCCCCGCCCCCTTCCGGAACTCACCTGAGTATCCCCATCTCTAGCCGCTCGCCTCAGGCCCCGCCCCCTCCGGCCAGCTTCCTCTTCTGAGGACCGCCCAAGCAGGAATAGCGTCTCTTCTTAAATCCGGGCTCCGCCCCTTTCTGTGCGGCGCCGGAAGCGCCTTGGTCCCTCGCTTCTCAACCTTCCGGCCTCCTTGCTAACTCCGGCTTGTTTTGCCCCGGAGTCTTTTCGGAAGGCTAGGCTGCGTCAACACGTCTCCACGTAAGACAAGGGTATTCCGGCGTGTTGTATAACAGCTTCCGGCGGGGCCTGGATATTGATTTCCTGCGCCTGTCGCTGTATTGGGCTTAAAGCTGAGTGAGCTCCGGAGGAGTAAGGGGGGAATTTCAGCATTAACTGCGGTCACCTCATCAGCCCGCCAAGATGGCGATGCAAGCGGCTAAGAGAGCGAACGTGAGTATCGGAGACTTCTGCCGAAGAGGGGGGGACTCGGCTGCTCGACTTTCTCGGTGGCGGGGATCGGAGCATTCTTGGCCCTGCTCCGTTTCCAGGGCGAGGGAGCCCGGAAGTTACTCTGGTGTCGGAGAGGGTTTCAGTCTCTCCCGGTTTTTAGAGATAAGATCCTTGAGTCATCTTTCCGCCCCCATCCCGTTTGAGAGTTCCTTCAGTCTCTTATCCTGGCGTTAGTGGTAGTATTAACACTACAGCCTTTGTTCCTTTACCTGCACCTAGAACCTGGCGTCAGTATCTTCTCGGCTTAAAGGTCAATAGCACAGATGGGTCCACAATAAATAACTTAATGGCTTAATTAAGATAAATAACAGGTAATTAGACCCTGGGAGTCTCCTCATCAGGGAGCTTTTTGGAGCCTTCGTGTTTTAGTTCAACAATATTTTTGAGCACTTACAATGTACCAGACTTGCGAGATAGGAAACAATTCATCAGTTATATTTATTGAATAGCTCCTACGTGCCAGACACTAGTCTGGGTATTAGAGATATGGCAGTGAATAAAACAAAAAGCCCTACTGCGTACATTCTTATGTTAGAGAATGGGGCGTTACGGAAACCTAAAAAAAAATCTCAAAAAGGAGTGCTCAAACTCTAAGATGATGAGAAGTACATTAAGATGAAGACAGATATTGGGCATGGTGAGATGGAGAGTTTCGGTGACCTTGGTGATTTTCATTTCAGTGGATGAAAACTTAGTTGTGGTGGGGCGAAAAGAGGGTGGAGGTTGAGAAAGGGGAGACAGTTGTTCGCACAAATGTTCATGTAAATAGGCATAAGAGAAATTGGATGATAACTTTTTTCTTTTTTAAGCTGTGCGATATAAGGTGTATTTGTATGCCCATGGGAATGATCTAGTAAGTGAGAGAAACTGATGATGCAGGAGAAAGGTGGATTAAGTTCAGGAGTGGATTGGAGTAGATGAGGGGTTGCCAGAGGACTGAGGGAAAGTGGGTGCATATGGATGGATGCAAGTTGGCAGGTTTAGCGATATGAAGATAAGGGCCTTACCACTGGGTCATATCTATTTCTTCCAGAAAGCAAGAACCAGGGTCATCTCCTAGTGTGGGCAGGGAAGAGAATACAGCCCAACTCAGATGTGAGGGCGAGTGGTGGTCGTAAGGTGTGAGAAGAGAAAGTGGGATGGAGTGTCTCGCAGTGGGAGAAAGGAGGTTTGCTCGTGGAGTGTACTGTGATAGACAGTGTTGATTATCTATCTGCATATCCTTGAGCCTTAAAATCTAAAGCTTTATTATACTTATCTGTTTACTGTTTGTCACCACTACTAGTTTGAGGACAGGGAATAAGTATGTTATTCTTCCATTTTTACAACGCAGCTTAATGCCTGGCATAGTTGCCAGTTTAATAAATAGTAAGCAAATTAAGGTCTATTATGTAATTAAATATGTTAATAAGGAGCACAGAATCTGGGTGGGAGATACATATTTGAGAGTCATCACATCAATGTGGAAATCATGTTGCGGTTAAGAGACAGTGTGGAGGTGTAGAGTTCAGGGGGATTTATACAAAGGGTCAAGACAAGTCTAAAGATAAAATTCTGTGGAAGAGTATATTTTTCAAAAATTGATTTAAGGAGAGAAAAAGAGGGGGAGAGATAGAGAAACATCGATTTGTTGTTCTACTTACGCATGCATTCATTGGTTGATTCTTGTGTGTGCCTTGACAGGATCGAACCTGCAACCTTGGTATGTTGGATGGCACTCTAACCAACTGAGTTACCTGGCCAGGGCTGGAAGAGCATATTTTAATGGCAAAGAAGACTAAGAAGAATTAATTAGCCAGATAATTAGGAGAAAGCCAAGAAAATAGAGAGTATCAAGGTCACAGTTAATGGTATCAGAGGCTCAGAGAAGTCAAGTATGATCAGACTTGAATGCTGCAAGTAAAGGTCTTAGTGTGTAAAAACACATTCATCATTTTTGGGTTGGAAGCTGGGTTGTGGTAGGCTGGTAAGTGTCAGTGAAGTAAAGAATAGGAGGCAGTAGTAATTATAGACTTCCTCTTTCCAGATGCTTAACTGAAGAAGAAAAAAAAAGCAAGAGAGCTAATAAGTTTGGAGAAGGCAGAAAGCTGGTCTTTTTTCCTTCACTGTGTACCCATAATATTACCTAGCCTGGTGTATACATAAAGAAGGTGCTCGGTAAATATTTGTTGAAAGAATGAAAAGGGAGCCAAATAAGTATTTTGTTTTGGCCCTGGCTGTCGTGGCTCAGTGGATTGAGCACTGCCTGTGAACTGAAAGGTTGCTGGTTCGATTACCTGTCAGGGCACTTACCTGGGTTACCGGCCAGGTCTCTGGTTGGGGGCATGTGTGAGAGGCAACCAATGGATGTTTCTCTCCTTCTCTTCCTCCCTCCCTTCCCGTCTCTCTAAAAATAAATAAATAAATATGTTTTTTTAAGTATTTTGTTTTGTGTAACAATGGCAGTACATAAGCAAACTGCTCGTTGGAGGAATAAAAGAAACCAGTCATGTTGGCAATCAAAAATAAATAAATAATAAGTGTACCGACCGAAAGCATGGTTTTTGTGGTAGCCTTTATTCGTTCTTACTAGGAACCTTCCTGAAAACCAGTGCCCCACTGCTTTCCCAAAGAGCATGCCGTTCTCAGTAATATCAGGTTATAATTCTTATTCTTGGCTTTTTTTGTGTCTAAATCCTCACCTGAGGATATGTTTACTGATTTTTAGAGAGAGAGAAGAAGGGAGAGAGAGAAACATCAATGTGAGAAAGAAACATTGATTGATTGCTTCCTGTATGCTCCCCGACTGGGGATTGAACCCGCAACCTAGGTATGTGCCCTGACTGGGGATCAAACCCACAACTTTTTGGTGTACAGGATGATGCTCCAACCAACTGAGCCACTGGGCCAGGGCTTGGCTTTCTTTTTAATTTATAATTTTTTATTATGAGAATTTCTTGTTTATTATGAGGATATTTATTAAATGGCATCACTTTCTCTTGATTATAATGACAATATATATTTCTCATTTTAGATTCGACTTCCACCTGAAGTAAATCGGATTTTGTATATAAGAAATTTGCCTTACAAAATCACAGCTGAAGAAATGTATGATATATTTGGGAAATACGGACCTATTCGTCAAATCAGAGTGTGAGTTTACTGAGACTTTTGAAATGTCACTTAAAGAAAATGATTACACAGTCTATGATCTAGGAATTATAGCTGACAGCGGGGCCTAACTGAGAGCCTAGAGGCTAATAGATTGAAGTCAGGGAGATTTTTTTCTTTTAAGGGAAAAAGACCCACTGAGACCCTCAAGATCCAGCTCAATGAGAGTCAACTAGTTGTGAAATTACAGAGAAAATGAATGGCTTGAGGGAACAGGAAGGGAAAAGAAGGAACAAATGCTGCATGCCTATTATTTGTAAAGGCAAGTACTATGCTATGTTTTTTTTAGAACGTAGAGTTAATGCATAACTCTATATGCATTAACTCTAATTTTCTCAACAGTCTTCACTGTCTCCTTTACTGAATATACTGAGTAAGGGCATATAGAAGTAACTGAGAAAAATGATTTTTTTTTCAACTACAGCTTTCTGTGGAAGATTTAAAAGTATAGGGGACCCTTCCCCTAATATCTTTAAAAATACCATGCTTACTCAGTAAGTCTCTGGTTTTCCAAAGAAAAATAGTCTCATTTGGAGAAATAAAAAAAAAGTCATATTACTTATAATACTACCAGATAAAGAACAGTGCTTAAAAAAAGTATGGGGGGAAATAATTGCAACACAAATTCATGTTTTAATTTAAACTAAACCCAAATTTAAATTGAAGGGCTCATACCTTCAAGTGGTACTTTTTGAACATCTACTAAATGCCTGCTAACTGCCATTTATTGTAATAGGTGCTTTTATGTGCATCGCTGTCATTCAGCCCCATGTGGAGCTGATACTGTGTCTGTTTCACAGATGAGACCGTCAAGGCCCAGAGCGGAAAAGTAGCTTTCTAGTTTCACACAGCTATTCAGGAATAAAATCTTCTGATTCTAAATTAAATTTCTACACTGCACAGGCATTGTCCCACGTAATAGTATAAATGGGCTGATTACCTAAGAAGTCCATCTAAAAGATCTAAGGTTATTTTTTAGTTGTAGTGTCTCTCTTTTCTCTCTCTCTCTCTCTCTCTCTCTTTCCCTCTCCATCCTCCCCTCCCCTCCTCTCTCCCCCACCCCTCCCCACCCCTCCCCTCTTCGTTTATGTGAGCCAAACTGACAACATGCTGGGAAGATCTCACATGCTCCCGAAATATCTTTCTTAATAAATTTTCTCTTATGGCCTGAGAGCCTTTTCTTGGCTTTTAGCGCTCTGTGAGATCTTGGAGACTGTGCCTCCATAATGATCACTGTGCCTCCATGAAGTGAACTGACAGCTAGAAATATGTCACCACTGATACTGAAGTGGGGGTAAAAATGAAGTGGTATAGATCAGCTGTCCATTTTAGGGAGTCTTGATTCTTTGAATATTTGCTAAAAGCTTTGGACCCTTTCGACAGAATACACACATTTGCATCTGATTTTAATGGACTCAGGTTAAGAAATTCTGTTCTAGACATAAAAGAATGGTATACAGCATGATAAATTTACTGAATTGGTTAAGACCTAGGTTCTAATACTAACTGGACACCTGTTAGTCATGTGAATCCGGACAAAACATTGAACCTTGCTGAGCTCCAAGTCCTATGAATACAGTTTCCTAACCCGCTCTCTTAAAAGGATTTTAGTGAGGATCAAATTGGACATGGCTGTGACAGCACTTTGTCATTGAGTATCTCCTTCCCCCTGTGCATTTGTACCCTTTTCTGTGTTCCCATAGCACCATCTAGGAGCATCTCTCCTAGTTAATACACACGTTTGCTGCCTGCGGGCTCACTGGTTTCTCCTGCCAGCCTGCGCGCTCCCCCAGGGCGGGTACCATATATTCTTTTCATTTTGTGTTGACAAGTTTCGTTATGCCTGATACATGTTAACTAACCACCCAATGTATATAAGTAAGTGAGTAATATATAAAATGGTAGTGTGGCTGTGATTAATTTATGAAGGTATTACAAAATATATTGATCTTAGACAATTAAGAGATGCTTAAATCAGCAAAGTTAAAGAAGGGTTTGGTGTGCAGGAGCTAGAGTCCAAGTTATAGATTAAGAAAAAGAGGTTTTTCTGTCCCATTGCTGTGCTCCTACTTTATAACATACTGGCACCCAACACAAGGGTGGCCGGCCTTCCCAGCTTGCCCAGGACCCAGGGGTTTTCTGGGACGTGAACTTCCAGTGCTAAAAACTGGACCACCTTGGGCAAACTGGGATGATTGGTCACCCTGCATGGCATATAGCAGACACTGGCATGGTGCTTTGGACTTTTTAAGCCCTTTCTTGTTAACTCTTTTGACTGTAGCATGGGGCATATGATAGTCTTGTGTCACTGTTTGACACGTGAAGCAACTGAAGCTCAGAGAACTTAAGTTACATGATTAGGTATTCTTATTTCTGCTCCAAGCTTTTACCACCATTGAAGAAAATAATGTTGGCTCAGTGCCTAACGTGTAGTAGCTATCAAGTACATGCTTTTAAAAATTGAAATTACAATATGGTTCTCAAGATACTAGGTTGATAATTAGGGCTGGGACACTTAAGAGGAAGAGTCTTTAAGATGTGATTAGTGCTGATCCCCCTTCTTCCTAAGAAGATGTGAGAAGGAGAAAGAGACATGCTCTTGTTTAGTTAGCTTCCTGGGGAAAGGATGTGAGAGAAAGCAGGTCTCTATCTTTCAAATTCTTATTAGCCCATGTGATGTACGAAGCACAGTAGGGGTAAAATTTAAAAAAAAAATCTTCGCTCTAAGGAACTTAAAACCTTAAGTTTCTTTCCTTTTTTTTCCTTTTTTTTTTTTTTTAATGTTTTCATTTCAAGGAAAAATTAGGTAGACTTTTTTGAGGGAATCTTTGGTGCAGTGTTTTTTCCTTTGGGCATCCCCAGTTTTCATACAATTGAAAGTCAAAACTCCAAAAGCTGTTAGACTTCCCAGAGAATAAAGAGCAGTGTAGAATCCCTCACCAGGCCCGCGCAGCCTGACAAAGTGAGGGCATTCGGGGATATTGGCACCCCAACCACCCCGGCACCCTGCCTGTCCTCTCCCCTGCACAGAAGCACAAGCTCTGCCTGGGGCTCAAGGCGATCATCTCATCCTGGTCCAGATCCAGCCGGGTGCCCCCTTCCCGTGGCCCACTACCTTTCCTTGACCTATGCAGGGACTGTTGCAGACCAGTCTTAGACCTTGTCTCACAGCTGCCTTGGGTGGCTGGGACACAGACGGAGGCGAGGGGGCCATCTCTGTTGGAGCGGAACATGGCTGAGTAGCATCTCTGCCCACCATTCCCACTAACAGGCACAGGGCCGTCTGCTGCCTGCAGTTTGTTGCTCCTCACTCTTCCCTACTTACACCCCTGACAGAAGCTGGTGAGATGAGGGGAGGAGATGAGCAGCAGCCACATACCTGTGAGCAGGGCCCGGCTCCCACTTCCAGCGGCCTCGTGGCTCGCTGCACTCGCCCGAGGACAACGCCACCCACGAGCGGGCTTCCGCCCCAGTCTCTGCAGAAGCCCAGCCCTTTCCCTGTGCGGAGCAGGCTTTTATGCATGACAGTGCAGGTGGTATTAAAAATGAATGTACAAAAGTAAGGAGCTGACTATATTGCATTTTAAAAAGGCAAGGGCTTTTTAAAGAAAAGCGGAAGAAACTACATTAACTCTCTAGTAGGAGTACATCCTTTTCTGGCCATAAAGGATGGTTGACTGTTTTCTGATACAAATCTCATTTAGAATTTTGCTGTCTTGGTGTAGGGGCTTCCTCCTCCCGCCCCCCACTCCTACAATATTGGTCTATTTTTTATGGATTTGATGAACCTTAGTAAAATACTGCCCAGGAACATATTTCCTGCATTGAGGAGATCCTCTTATCTTTAAGAATTGAAACTATAATTAAAATGCGGGGCTGGGGGGGATCTAAGTCCTTAGAAACAAGGTATTAGTTTCCAGGTGGTAGCGCGGTATATAAAGTACCGATTGTGTTGCATAAATGCACAGTAAAAAAAAAAAAAAAAAACACCCCACTCAGATACTGCTGGCTAATAGGAGCCATCCCTCCTCAATACTTCCTTTCCAGTGTGAGACTGAGAACTGGTTCTTAGTATGAGAATAGCGAAGGCTAGAACATGAAGACCATGACAAAGGTTCAGCCTAGTTCTTTCTTGTGACTTCTTTAGTTGCTATGTTAGTATTCTTGCTGTACAGTAAGTTTAATCTGTAGCTGATTTACTTAAAAACAAAAATTACCTGAGCCAAGAAATTACAGGCTTATCCAGGATACCTGTCCATAATGTTTATTTCTGCTCATGGTTTCCGGGTAAATGTGTATTGAATTCTCTGATTCACGTCTGCAGGGGGAACACACCAGAAACTAGAGGGACAGCTTATGTGGTCTACGAAGACATCTTCGATGCCAAGAATGCGTGTGATCACCTGTCAGGATTCAATGTTTGTAACAGATACCTCGTGGTTTTGTACTATAATGCCAACAGGGTAAGTGTAGCCACGGTTCTCATCGCGTGGGGAGCCCGTGTAAGCGTTAGTGCCCAACTGCACCATTCGGGGACATGTGTGCTCTCGAGTTCTTTTCTGGCTAGTGCTGTGAGTGCAGTTCGTTTGCCTCTAGATTGGTAATTGTTAACTTTGGTACTTACCACATTTTCAGGCATTTCAGAAGATGGACACAAAGAAGAAGGAGGAACAGTTGAAACTTCTCAAGGAGAAATATGGCATCAACACAGATCCACCAAAGTAAACGTTTTCTCCTCTCATTTTGGACTGAAACCCCATGAATCACCACCACTACCCTTTTTTTGTTTTTTAATTAGTACATATAGTGTAATTTCTTATTTGAGGTTCCAAATGATGTGCTGGAAACTTTGATACATGTTATTGTTAGTAAACTTGGAGCTTTTTGTAAAACATGTCAGTGTTTTCTCTTGAACTTTCTCCTGTTTGATACCAGTGGTGGGGGGAGAAGAACAGTGGTAGAACCATGTCAAGAATTATTTCGTGGTAGCGGGTCCTAGAGACTGAGCTTCATGAGAGCAGGCACCTTTTTGTCTTCCAACGCCTTCAGTGTGCAGTCCAGTGCTTAGCCATCAGGGAACTTGTTAGAGTGTTGTCACTTGTTGAATTGTCTATTAATAATGAACTCTTCATAACTCAATGAAGGTAGATATCTCCACTTTGCAGATAAGGGAACCAAAGCTCATCGTGTTGGTGAAATAAATAAAATGCTTACATTAAAAGTTGCTATGACATCAACCAGTTATTAACCATGCCAGTACATTTGAGTAATACTTGCTTTAAAAAAAAACACCTTTGTCAATGCCGATGATACCCTTGTGTTTAGAACAGGGGTCTGTTCTAGAAATGGCCGAACGACAGCATGTGGTTAGAAATTTGAGGGCAAGCAGCAGGTAGTGTTGTGGTTGTTTCATGTCTAAGATTGTATTAATGTAGTCTTTCCACTTAGTTAATAAGTGTGTATATTTTGGAACTTGTTCATAGTATATCTTTGCTATAAGAAATTACACGGTGCTTATTATAATCATGAGCTCCCATGGCATGGAAATAATACACTTATTACCACATTTATCATAGCTTGGCAGCTTGGAGGGGATAGCTGTAATTTTCCTTTCATAGTTAGGCCTGGGCCAGATAGAAAAACAGAGACTAATTTTATTTATATATACATATGTAAAACTGTAACCCAAAACCAACTTGAAGGATACAAGGACTGAATCATTTAAATGGACAAAGAACATCTATTCTACTTTCAAATGCACTTAGTTTTGAAATCTATCATTACTTTAAGAAAATAGGCTATTTTATACTTTTGTGCTATCTTCTCAAAGCCTACTTTTGAAAATGAAGTAATTGTCTTATTTGTTATGTCTGAGTGCCTTTGGAAAGCGCTGTAGGAGAGCCATTTCTAAGAAGGGCAGGCAGATGACAAAGGAGCCAGCAGCTGTAATTTTCCTACGAATGCTTTTATGAATTCCATATTAATTTCTGTAATGCATGATGTGCCTTTAGGTATTTACAAAAGTAAAAAGAAATTTCTAAAAGACTCTTTTGTTAGGGGAAAACTAATTAGACTTACTTATAATGTGATGTGTCTAAAGAGTTTTATAAATTCCCTCTTAATTGTTTGGCAACTTTGTTGCCTGTCCCAGTTAAATAAAAGAACTCTAATTTAGTGGACAAATATTGAGAACCTCCTCAGCGCCAGGGCTGTGTGGGCTGAGATGCTGAGGCTACAGTGGCGCTCAGTCCTCTGCACCGGGCATCTAAGGCTCAGCTTTCCAAACTGCTTTTAAGGGTGCAAGGGAAGGTTGAGCCCACGCACATGTGTGCCAGAGCTGCTTTACATTCTTCTAGGTTAAGTTTTGAGTTCCTAAGAAAGATTTTGTATGACTGGATAATGTACTGACCAGCAGTTTGAGAATGGCTGATCTGACAGCTCCTCGCTCTCCGGCTTAGCCACCTACAGTGGCTCTCGCAGGTCTGTCCGCGTGCTGCACCATAACTCTCTGCGTCACCTTTTAAGAGCGCCAGTAAAGCAGGGCCGGCAAAGCCTAGCGTGCTCTCCCCAGGTGCCGGCCAGTGGGCGTTTGCATTTTTTTGTTTGTTTGTGTTGGTTCTTAGCGAATGTCTCCTTTCACCACGTAAACAATACATACTCTAGACAGAGATCTCTTGTGCGACTCCGTAATGGTCACCTGTAGTGGCCCTCGGTGCCATTTTTAGTTATCCTATTGGTGTCACAGCAGAAAACATGGGAAAACCAGCCGGGTTCTAAGAAATTATCAGATATTTGTGTCACTGAAGAAAGCTGGGAGCTGAGACAGTCGGAGAGAAACAGCCCGGAAATGAAGGGATGCAGCGCCCTGCAGCTGGCCCGGTGCCGCAGGAGTGAGCCCACGGCCTGCGAGAGTGAAGGCCGGGCAGCCCGAGCCCCTTTCTCACTTCGTTCTCTGCATCTTGAAGCACTGCTGCTTTTAACTCCTCAGTGCTCAGCAGAGGGCGACAGCCAGGACTTCTGGAGGCAAAGGAGCAGATGGAATAGCCAAGACGATTGATGTGGCCCCCATCTCATACATGTGACGTCGGGAGCCTGGGAAGGAAACCAGCAGTATCTGTTCCCAGCCCCTCAATCCCAACACCTTCAAGTCATCACCGACTGAATAACCCTCCCTGTGTGTGCAGGCTGTGCCGACCGAAAGAACTCTCTTAGCCACATTGCCCCAGGCTCCTTTGATGAACACACCACTAAGTGGGCTGGTTTTAAAACCTAACTGGGGATTTCTGTGAGTTACAGTAAATGTTGATTAAATTAAGCATTATAAGTGGAAACAATGCAGAATCATACATTATTCTCTGAATTAATTCCCCAGTGTAAGTTAGAGCAAATCTAGATGCAACTAAGCAGTTAATGTAAAAACAGGCTCAGAATCACAGCCTTTCCCAAAGTAACTTCCCGGTGTGAGTTAGCGTTTGGCGCTCAGGCCCACCGCACCTTCGTTTGTTCAGATGCAGTGTTCCTTTCCCTCGGGGTGCAGGCAGCTCACCCCTCTGAGTCCAGACAGCTACAGGTTGGGAGACCACAGCGGCTCAAATCCCACAAGGCACGGGGTTTGAACACAACGTATTCCTTTAGTTATTTAGAGAGACTTGAGCCTGTGAGATGAGTGACAAATAATACCTACCTTGTAGGGCTGCTTAGAGGATTGGTGGTAATTTTATTTTAAAAACATACAGAATAAGGCCGTGCATGTACAGTACTCACATTGTAATTATTTATTATCACTCTCCTGGCTACTTGGAAGGCTCCTTCCCACTCCCAGGGGTGACAGGCTTATGTGGTCCTTAAAGAATTTCCTACCTACAATAAGGATGGACAGGAATTTGTCAAGCACAGAGCCTTTATTTTACATGTCATTTCCAAAGAGGACATTTTGTAAGTCAGCAGCCAACAACTTCTGAGAGAGAAAGTGACAGCAAAGGTAACTGGCTCAAGTCCCTCCATGTACACCACGTACATCTCGTGTCTGAGCACCTTGTGTGTCTGGCTTAAGTGAAGGTAAGGCAGTGTAGATTGTGCGAACAAGAAATCTGTGTTCTGTGGTCAGGAATGGCTACTACATGCACACGCAGAATGCACAACCTGAAATGTTTTGATCCGCAACCGAAGTGTCCTCAAGCAAGGATGCACGTGAACAATGACCAACACATAAACAGAGCAACGTGGGCAGAGAGAATGGACCATGTTGTGGGGCAGTGAGGCGAGCGCACTGATCGAGAGCCCCAAGCGGGAAGAGCCGTCCCAGCGGCAGGGCAGGCTCTGGGGGGCAGGGGGAGGCCGTCATCTCCCGCCACCTTGAGTTCCTTCCCGCCTTCACTCTAAGTTGAGCAGCTCCACATCGAAGATGAGGGTGGCATTGGGAGGGATGACGCCAGGGTGGCCCGTGGCTCCGTACGCCACATCAGGGGTGCAGGTCAGCTTCGCCCTCTGCCCCAAGCTCATCTAGCAGGGATGGGGGCAGATGGGGAGAGGAGAAAGAGGACCCAGCTTGATTTAAAAGAAAAAGGTGAAATAACTATGGCATTTTCTTAAACCATCCTCACGGTAACCCTGACAACCTGAGTTGAGTTTTGTATGTGGCCCACTGAAGTTGTGCTGAGTTGTGACGTGTGTAGACTCTGCTTCAGGATAGCAGAAACTTGACTGTGGACAGTAACTCCCACAAAGCAGTCTCAAATTCACCCGCTCAACAAGCATGGCCGCTTAGTCACGGCAGGGCCCAAATACTTCCACTCACTCAGGACTGTTCCTCACCCTCTTCCAAACACACCTAAACAGGGTGTCTAAAGGGCACACGTATGTGCACACCAAATCAGGTGGGTGACAGAGGCAGCTCATTAGAGCTTTCAAGGCCAGAGCCACAGCAAGGCGGTGAGGGCTGAAAAGACCTCTCTCAGGGCGCGCCCTGACTTCACAGGCCAGGAGGGCTCACCACGGCCGTCACCAAGCACCGGCCTGGCATTTGTGAGACTGGGTGGAACTGGAATAAACCGATTTTTAATTTTGAACGTCTGACTCAAAAATTTGAATGGCTTGGTTAACAGTATTGTATCAAAGTCCTGGTTTTTATCTTTGTACTATGATTATGTAAAATGTTAACATTTGGGGGAGCTGGGTAAAGAACATATGGGGATTCTACTATTCCTGCAATATTTTTGCAAGTCTGAAATTGTTTTTTTTTAAACGTTGAAAAAAGGCCCCGCCCCGGCCTACCCCAACACTTCTGCCGCCTCCATCTGGGACAGCTGGTTGCTCACAAGCCTCCCCAGCTAGTTCCCAGCAAACCTGGGGGTGTGGTGAACTTGGGATGAGAGCCCAGGGACAAAGGAGTCATGCTGGCAACAAAAGGGGCGGGGACACGAAGCCAGGCCTGAAACTAGATGGTGTGGCCCTGCCCTGGCAGGAGAGTCAAAGCTGTAGGTCTGTGATGGGGGCGGGGGGCAGTGTGGAGCCCAGACCCCCAACCCCTCAAATCCCCTGTAACAAGGACTTCATCCTACCTGGGCTGCACCTTCTTCAAAACCCTTGATGACTTCCTGTTTGCCAATTCTGAACTTGAAAGGTTTGTTTCTGTCTCTGGATGAATCAAATTTCTTCCCATTCTGGAGCATTCCTGTGAAAGCAAGAATAAGGCGCTAAACGGTTGTGATCATGAGTCAACTTCCACTTCAGGGTCAATGCATCTGACATGGAATTCCTATTCTGCACAAAACTCCTCTTCCAACCTTCCCCATCGGTCCTGTTGCCCAAGGGAACGTGGACTCTTCCCTCTGCCTTACTCCCAGATACAGCCTATCAACAAGGCCAACATATCTTTACAATCCCTGATTTCCTCCATTTCTGTTACCACCATCCTGGGGCCTCACCTAGTCGCCATCATGTCTCAAGAGCACAAAGGAACAACCTCTAACTTGTCTCTGCTCCACTCTTATCCATTCCCTTCTCCACGCTGCACCGCGAATGGTTGTTTTAAAAACACATATTACCCTAGCTGGTGTGGCTCAGTGGATTTGAGTGCCAGCCAACAAACCAAAGGTCCTTGGTTCGATTACCAGGGCAAAGCATGTGCCTGGGTTGCAGGCCAGGTCCCCCGCAGGGGGCATGCAAAATGTAACCACACATTGATGTTTCCCTTTCTCCTTCCCTTCCCCTCTCTATAAATAAATAAATACGCATATCCGATCATATCATTCATTTCCTTGCTTCAAACACTTCAATAGTTCCCTGTAGCAGAATCCAAAGGTCCACATGGCATAGAGGCACTTCAAGATCTGGCTGCTGCCTGCCTCATAACCCCCCCTTTCTGCTCTCCCCTTCCTTCCGGTCTCTCTCCCCACCCCATGTCCTATTCAGGTCATACCTTGCTCAAATACCTCTGGGCTTTACAACTTTGGGGAGCTGTTTCCTCATCCCGAAGATGTTGTCCCAGGCATTTCCCCTCACGTTGAATCCTCACCTGGTTTTCCCAATGTTTCCCCAAGATGCAAAACCCAAAGGTCACACTGAATAGTATAAAGTGTCCCAGCCAATCAGCAGTGGCCTCTAGAACCTAGACAAATAGGACTGTCCTCAGCAGTTTGGAGCATCCATCCCTTCAGCTGCACATGCCTTGTTATCTCTGTTGCATGTCTCCATCCAGATGCCAAAGGCCCAAGAGCTGCTTTCTATTCTTATTGGTGACTGACTCAAAGATCAGACCTTCTGCAAATGATGGCAATATAACTAAGACTTCTTTCTGCAGCCCCTGGACCACAAAAAAAAAAAAAAAAAAAAAAAAAAAAAAGGCAACTGAGGACCAAAGAAAGATCTGCCCTGTAAGCACAGAGAATAGATTATGACTTCACTCTGGCACTAACTCATTGTGTGAAGTTAGGCAAATTACTGCCTCTCATGACCTCAGCTTTGCCATGTTTAACAAACGAGGTCTGGCCCAGCTTTGTATCTGAGGATCTAGCATTCCTCTTCCTAATTCCTACAACTGTACAAAAGGGACAGTCTTACTACCTACTTTCTGTGTAGAATACATTGGGCTCTTGCGCTGGGGACTAAATCAGACAAAGGAGAGAAACCTATGGCTACATAGATGGATACTAAGATACAAATTCATGATACATAGGTTGTTAAGATATTCAGATACACAGAGATAATCAAGCATGCTCACATCCATGTATGCACATACACTCAGAAGAAAAATCCTAATGGCCAAACATGCTAAGAAAATATTTAGATACACAGGTCTATGTATATTCACATAGACACACATTTGGACAAACACATATATGGGTATGCACATGCACATTCACACACTCCATTTAAAGACTGACTGTCTCATGCCCCAATTTCTTCAGGTTTCATAAGACTGAATCTACTTCAGATCATGTGGTTATCTACCACTACATGTTCTGCCAAAACCATGCAGCCCAGAAGCAGACCCACATGAACATGGTGCTTGATTTGACAAAAGGTGCCACTGCAATGCAACAGAGAAAGGATGATATTTTTAAATTGTTTTTAAAGATTTTATTTATTTATTTTTAGAGAAAGGAGAAGGGAGGGAGAAAGAGAGGAAGAGGAACATTGATGTGAGAGAGAAACATCGATTGGTTGTCTCTTAACTCAGAAGGTTCTGGGACCGAACCCTCAACCCAGTCATGCGCCCTGACTGGAACTGAACTGGTGACCTTTCACTTTGTGGAACAATGCCCAACTGAACCAGTCAGGGCAAAAGGGTGATTTTTTTTTTTTTAATTAATGTTACTGGATCAACTGTAAATCCATATGGGGAGAAAAGTGAACATTGACCCCTACTTCATCCTCACACAAGAATCAATTCCAGATGAATCAGACCTAAATATGAAAGATAAAATAATAAAGCATCTACAAAATAATAAATAGAACATCTTCATGACCTAGGGATAGACAAAGACTTCTGAACACAAGAAGGACTAACTCTAAAGGAAAAGGTTGACATATAGGACTTCAAGGAAATTAAGATCTTCTGTTAAAAACGTGACAACAATAAAGTAAAAAGGCAAGCCATAGCATGGGAGCAGTTAGAGGTATAACCAACAAAGGGCATATCTAGAATACATAAAAAATTCCTATAAATAAAAAGACAACCAATTTTTTAATGGATAAAATTTGAGCAGACTAAAGAGGATATCCAAATGGCCAAATAAGCACATTAAAAACTACTCAACTTCATGAGTCTTCGAGACAACGCAATTCAAACCACAGTGAGATATCGCGGGACACCCAGAGCAGGCCAGAACCCCAACAAAACCTGATAAAACCAAGTGCTGATGAGGATGTAGGGGAACTGGGACTCATGCATTGCAAGGGGAAGTGGAAATTGGCAGAAT